ATTATTTTTAGTAAGCATTTTAAAAAACAAACTTGTTCCTACAAATCAATAAGAAAAAGATGAACAACACAATATAAAAATAAGACTAACCACTTCCTAAAATGGCCATCAAAATACAAAAACTCAGGGCTGGGGACATAGCTCAGTTGGTAGAGTGCTTGCCTCACATGCACAAGGCCCTGGGTTCAATCCCCAGCATCACCAAAAAAAATACAAAAACTCATCTAAATTCATATCCTCCTAAGTCAGTTACTCTGACAAAAGTATAGTTTCCCTGGAATGCACAATAAAATCATCTTAAAGTAACAGGAGAAAAGATTCAAAGCAACCAAAAAACAAAATAATCTAGTAAATCAAACACATGGGAACTCCATTTACAATATCTTTTCTAAAATTAACTTTACAGACAATGAAATCTCAAAGATGTAGTGCAATTGTAACATAGTTATTTGTATAACTCACATCTTATTAATATACCCCTAAGTTATTTCAGCAGTATCCATTCTGAAATACTGCTACTACATATGAAGTAAACAATGAAATTTAATTTCTCCATTAGGTCTCATGCCACAAAACTTGAAATTTCTATTAAAATCGAATTTACATTTTTCCTTTAATATGAAAATAGGTAAGTCAGCTCAAACAACTTCTCTAAGAAACTGAAAAGGAATTGGACAGTTCATAACTTTTTTACCCCCAATGCTAGGGGTTGGAACCCAGGGCCTTGAGCATGCTAGGCAAGCACTCTACCACTAACCTACATTCCAGCCTCTAATAATTTTTTTAAATACTTAAGTCTTTCAAATCAATATACAAAATTGGTTTCCAAAGACAAACATGAAGTCATCAAAACTATTCAAAAGTTAACATTAGAACATGAAATTCATAGCAATAATGTAACTATAAAACAACTATACTATGTATGGAAATATTTTCTCCCCCTAAAAATCTATGATCTTGACCTACCTTTTCTTTTTACAAGATTGTTAGGTTGGAAAAGACCATCTAATACAATTAGACACTCAGAGACTGAACCCAGATAAATGGTCAGTCAGCCTATACTTGAAAACCAGGGATGAACATCTCATAAAGACCCTCTTTAGACAAGTTCTTCATACTTTTAATCCAAAATCTGAGATGACTCCCTGTGGTCTTCTCTCTAATCTTATCAAATATATTCAATCCTACTATCACAAGGTCATCCTAATAACTGACACTTGTGCTCAATTAAATTTATTAGAAAACAAAAATACCTACTTTGAAATCTGTCATTTAAATATTCGCTGTCCCTTAGGAAGTTTGACTAGTACATAACCTTAGGTCACTTAACAATGAAAAGTACTAGTCAAATGTTTTATTTTTCTTGCCAAACCCCAGAAAGACATCATACTTAAAATATAATTTACCAACCTCAAAGACAAGGATGTCAAATATAACCCAAAATGACCCTAGGGCAGCTACTAAAAAAAACTTTGCTTATGAAACAAAAGTTTACAAACACTGCCCAAGAACAGCCAAATAAATGCAACAGAAATACCCCCAAATATGTATGAAAAGTTCAGTATATCATCAAAATACCATTTTAAATCAATAGGTAAATAAATATAGGTAGATATATATATATTTAATGTTAGTAGTAGTGGCACAAATGATAGCCATTTTAGAAAGAAATTAAGTCCTTACATCTCAATTATATATGGATCAAGGTTTTAAAGGTTAAATCATGAAAGAACCAGAGCAAAACACATGGGCATTTTTTTAAAAATCTATTTTGTAAAAGGCTTTTCTATGTTTCACATAAAAGCCAGAGACATGAAGAAAAAGACTGGCAAATCTGATGAGAAAACGATATATAAAGGCTTACAGGGAAAAAAATAAAGTGACTAAACACAAAAAATCTGTAATTTTACAATATTTACAAAGTAAAACAATATATATATATATATATATATATATATATATATATATATATATATATATATATAATGTAAACAAAGTAAATAGTTTTTTTTCCTTAAATTGTAAAGGTCTGGCTGCCTTGACTTACAAATACCACTTAAAATTTGAGAAAAATGAATGAGAGGACATATTTAGAAGGTTGGTGGGGGGAGGATACTCATTGTACTTTTTTTTTTTTTTTTTTTTTTAGAAACGCAACCTCAGTAACATTAAAGATATGCAAAGTAAAACAGTATGTGCCTTCTTTTCACTTAAGCTATTAAGGGCAGGAACCAGAAATTTTGGAGGTAATGCATATGTTCAGTTCCTGGAGGATCATGATCATTTCACCAGTATACACAGAAGAACACATATTGTACACTTCAAACATATGAAAAATTTACAGTTTGTTGTATGCCAATTATACTTCGATAAAGACATCTTTAAAAATTACATGTTTGTAGGGCTGGGGCTCAGTGGTAGAGCACACACCTGGTGCACATGAGGCACTGGATATGATCCTTAGCACCACATAAAAATAAAATAAAGGTATAAAAAAATTACATGTTTGTAAATTTATCTCTCTTCACTATGGTTGGCAAATATTTAAAAGCATGAGCTAGAGAATATGAAAAATAATGCTTTTATCATTTAGTTTGAGTATTAACTAGTACAATACAAGAGAAATTTGGAAAAGCCTTAATAAAAACATAAAAACTGTGCATCCTCTTCAGAGAAAATTTCTTTCCTGGTAGTTTATACCATAGACACAATCACATAAATACAAGGACTTACTTACTCTATGTTCACTGTTTGTAATGCACCTTTATAATCCTTGGGCCTACTATTAAGGAAATGACTAACCTTGAAATACAGCTTCACATATAATATGGGTACATATTTGAAATATATATTTTTTTCCAGCACTGGGTTTTGAAACCAGGGTGCTCTACCACTTAACTATGTTCCCAGCCCTTTCTATTTTTTGACAGGTTCTTCCTAAGTTACCCAGTCTGGCCTTGTATTTGCTATCCTCCTGCCTCAGCTTCCCAAGTAGCTGAGATTACAAGAATGTACCACTACATTCAGCTTCAAAAAAAAAAAAAAATTTATATTTTATATGTGTGTATGTTTGTGTGTATATCATGACACATAAGACACAATATATACACACACGTGTTTGTATGTGTGTAGTATGTATGTAAACACACACATATATCAAACTACATAATAGCATACAAAAAAACAAAGTTCTTTTACATGAGAGTCATGCCCATATAGGTACAGGAAACTCATGGAAGAACAAATTAGCAACCATTAATTCTGTGATGATTTCTGAGTATTCTTTCTGGTAATTTTTAACCTTTTATCCTTCATAATATTTGCATTTTCCCACCATGAGCTTATATTACTTTTATAATACAAAGTCAAACTTCATGTAATTTGAAATTGTAAAAATTAAATCATGACTTTAAAAAATCAATTTGGAGACTATTTCTAACAATACAAACTAAAACTATTTCCATTTAAAAAATCAATAAATGTTTGCTTTAAAATAGTCAAGTTTTAAAAAGAACCAATAAATAAATAAAGGAAAGCACTAAAAAATAAAATTAAATAACAAGTTTGGGGTTGGAGGTGCAGCTGAAGGGTAGAACATTTGCCTAGCACATATGAGGCCCTAGGTTTAATCCCCAGTACTTGGGGGGGGGGGGGGGGGGGG